TTTTTTTTTATTAGGTTATTACAACCTCATATCCTGAGTAATGTATTAGTCAAATTAACTTGAATTAACTTTAGGTTTTTTTTTTTGTTTTTTTAAATTTTTTTATTTTACAATTTCATCATTTTAATATTAAATTATTAGGTATTGTGATTTGTGATTTTTTTTTTGTTTCTATTAGATTATCCTGGATGCAGATTAATCAAGTTAACTCGAGTTGACTTTTTGTTTTTCAATATTTTTTTATTTAACTTTGGTTTTTTTATATCAACCTTATATTACGGGTGGCGGGTTAGTCAAGTTAACCTAAGTTGACTAAGTTTTTTTTCTTGACATTTTTTTATGAAATTAAAATATATTTTTTTAATTTTATTATTTAACATTAAATTATTGGACCTTGAGTTTTGTCTCTTTTTTTTTTATCTTCCTATAAGGTTATCCAAAGTGTGAGTTAGTCAAATTATTAATCTAGATTACCTCGAGTTATTTTTTTAATGTTTTTTATTTGGTTTTTTATCTATTTTTTTATCTTGATTTCATATTGTAGGTGATTGGTTAGTTAAATTAGTATTGGTTAACCTAAATTTTTTATTCAACTTTATTTTTTAAATTGATTTTTTTTATTTTAATATTTGACATTAGACTATCGAGGCTTGAGTTTTATAATTTTTTTCTTTTTTTTTATATCAGTTATCTTGATCTCATATCTTGGGTCACGTATTATTAAAGTTAATCTAGATTGACTTAAAATATTATCATTGTCTTAATATTTTTTATGTTAAGAAGAGTTTGACTCGGCTCATGATGTGGCGCGTGCCACCTATTTAGTTCATTGCAACATTGCAATGACATTTGTGCAATTCTAAGAAAAATAGAGGATTATGAGTTAAAGATAGTTTAGTCTTTTCACATGACTCATTAGTCATCAATGATTTGATCAAGGGTATGTATGACTTTTTCATGCTTTTAGGAATAATAAAATAGCTTAATTACCCTTTGAAATTTTTCTTAAATTGTCGATCAAGGGTATTTAAGTTTTTTTATTTTTTAAAATACAATAAAACACATTTTTACCCTTGAAATAAAAAAATAAAACATCAATTCAATGGCCTTTTGCTCTTTTCCTTTCTTTCTTTTTTTTTAGTTAATTTCATAACTATCAAAGGTATTTTAGTATTTTTAAGTTAATTAATTAATAGTAAGATTTAAAAAATAATTGGCACATAGTGTCCACATACCCAAGTGTTGAAGGTGTCCATGCCAGTTAGGCGGCACAAACAGTGCTTCTCAATGGTCAAACACACCCTTTTACCGTGTTTTTTAAAGCAACCATTTATCTTTTTTCTCAAGATACAGCACATGTTGGTGAAGGTGAAGTGGTTTGTCATTGATCAACCTTTCTCATTTATTTTCTTCTTTTTCCACTCCTCCCTAAAAAAAATACAGTTTAGATATCTTTATTTTTTATATTTCAATTTTAGTCTTTATTTTTTTTATTTCTAATTTTAGTTCTCAGCCTTTTTATAAAAGTTTTAGTTGTTTTTTATTTAGTTCTTCGATTTTAATTTTTCATGTATTATTATTTCAATTCAATTTTTATTCTTTTGATTTTTATCTTGACTCTTTTGATAAAGTTTTATTCATTTTTAATTTTATCCTTCAAACCAATTTTATGGTTTATTGTTGTTTTTTAAATTTGAACGTCATTCTTTTAATTATTTTTTTTCTTTTATTAATTTTTTTTTTTTCAATTTAACCCTCTAATCAAACTTTTTTTATTGCCCTCGAATTGATTTTTTTATTTTGATTTTCATACTTGTTCATTTAATTATGTAATATCACACATCGATGAGTGAAAAAGTGGTAATTGACCTCATTAAAAGTTCTAGCTGTCAACTTGTCATATGTGTTTTGGAATATTAGGCTCAAAAGTGAGCTGGCTTCATCAAGAACAAAACCATAAAAGCAGTGAGGCCCAAAGCAGACAATATACGGTAGGTTAGGCCAGCTGTTATATTTAGTATTAGAGTCGACCTCACTAGTTGTCCGGTTGTGCTAACAGGATCGTCGGGCTCCTTAAAGAAGGTGGATTGTAATATCTCATATCGGTGAATGAGAAAGTGGTAGCTGGCCTTATTAAAAGCACTGGTTACCAACTTGTCATACAAGTTTTTGGGGCGTTAGATTAAGAAGTGAGATCGCTTCACCAGGAACAAAATCGTGAGGATAGTAAGGCCCAAAGCAAACAAAATATGGTAGGTTGAGTCGGGCTATTACAAATTGCTATTTTTTTTATCTTTGATCCTTGGTGTAATTGATTTTCTTTTCCTGATTTCATCCTTCAACATTTGATTTATTAGGGATTGGTCATTATTTCACCATGTATAGTGCTTTCGATCTAATAACTTAAGTCACAGGTTTAAAAAATTAACATGGTCAAAATTGTTATTAGACTTATTTTCTTTTCTGATTTC